ATAAGTTGGAAATGATTTGAAGGCACACAACAACAACAACAACAACAATATAAAATAGCAAAATCAAGGTTTGCTTTTTGGAATGTACAGTATATCTCTTTGGAATAATTCCAAACTCTTGAACAGTTGAATCCATGGATAAAAAATCTGTGGATAAGAAGGGCTGAGTGTAATGTATCAGTGACACATCACATTCAACATAACCAGCATCAGGTAACAAAAAAGTGTGTGTCACTTTGGAAAACAGTAAGGTACACGCAACCTGCTTCTCAGCCTGCTGAGAGCTACAATATGGACTTTAGGCTTCTCCACCACAGAAAGAAAAGCTATCCCTTAATGGTTCCGACTTTGATCCACTAGGATGGACCTCAGCTCTCAGAAGCTCCAGCCAGCTGGGCCATGAGTTAAGAATTTAGGGAGTGGAAGTCCTAAAGATATGAAAGACCAAAGTTTGGGAATCATTGCAAAATATCATCCTAATTTGAAACAGTATGGGGAAAAAAGAAGTGATTTTTTGCAGAAACAAATCCTCTGAAGGGTGTTATGTCCAAGACTAATAGTTGCCACAGCTGTGGTTTTCTTTTTTTAAATATAGACTTGCCTTCTCTGAGCTATATAAAAAGATCTGAAATTGGAATGAGTCTGAAATAGGCAAACTGTGGCCTGCTAGGTGAAGTTGGACTGCAGATTTCAGCATGCCTCACCATTGGCTCTGTTGACTAAGGCTGCTGGAAATTGCAGGCCAAGAACAACTAATATTTGTCCTCACAGAGTTCCCTAATAGAAATTACTACCTTGCGTAGTGATTTGGACTGCAATCTTCCCAGCTGAAGCCCGACACTTTAATTGCTGTATCAACAAATGCTATGAATTGAAGAGGAATTATTTTCGAGTTAAAATGCTCGTTACGCTGTAATAAACACATCAGTCAGAAAGGTGCTACAAATGGACTGTTTGTTGCATTTGTTGAGGACTCTGGGGTTGAATCTTTATTACATTTATGTTTTTAGAAATGGCCTATTAAGTATCCTGAATATTATAGTTCTGCAGAAAAGGAGCACTTGTGCCGCAAGTGTTATTCTGTAGGCCAGTGAAATTTCTTCTCAGATTAGCAGGCAGAAAACTCCTGCAGCCTTAGTCCTACTGCATTTAGGGGAATTTACTCTTGGTGTAAGTGTAGAGTAGTAGTTTGACTGTTGGACTGTGACTCTGGAGACCAGGGCTCGATTCCCAGTTTGGCCATGAAACCCACTGGGGGACTTTGGGTGAGTCACACTCTCTCAGCCTCAAGGGAAGGCAATGGCAAACCTCCTCTCAACAAATCTTGCCAAGAAAACTCCATGATAGGGTCGCCATGAAATGACTTGAAGGCACACCACAGCAACAACAACACTTGTTAGTCTCTGGGCTGTTGTCTCAAAGGTGCTGCTTTGAGCCCCAGGGTGCACTGTAGAAACAATGGAGCTTGATACTGTTTTGACTGACATCGTACAGAATCCTGGGATCTGTAGTTTTGTACTTGTTGTTGTTGTGTGCTTTCAAGTTGTTTCTGAGTTATAGTGACCCTAAGACTATCATGGGTTTTTCTTGGCAAGATTTGTTCAGAGGAGCTTTGCCAGTTTTGTGAGGCACTGGCACATTTGGGCAGATAAGGGCAAAGATCTTGTAAGATTACAAACCCCAGGATTCCACAGAATGGAGCTCCAGCACTTGAAGTGGTGTCAAACTGCATTATTTCTACAGTGCAGATGCACTTTAAGCACTTTATCACACGAGGGCCAGTTCCGTCTGTAAAGAGATAATAAAGCATAAATAAACCATCCTGAAAATAAAGTGAAAATAGTGTTTAATTGTGTGAATGAAGATTACACGCAATTAGAATAAGCACATAATAATGTGAAAAGCAGGGAAAAAACTCCTTTGTGTTTCATACAAAAGCAAACAAATTCCATATATGAAGTAGACATGGTATACTTGGACATGTGCAGAGGGATGCATAGTTAATGCATCACAGGAATCTTCCTTGCTTCTTCTTTGTGTTCTCATGTTATTTCGCCACTACAATCTTTCTTATTCTCAACAGTTGTATTTTTTATTTTATACAAATTGATATACTTTTGTCTGGCATGTTTGTCGCCCAAGCCAAACAGGAAGTCAAAGCGGCCCCAAAGAACTATGGGAAAACCGGAAAAACGAGTGAAAGGAGGATTATTGCGTGAATAA